AAACGAACAGATCCATCTTCTTGGCGACCGGAGTATCTCTCCGGCATCGTCTGATATGGCGAGCGTAGGAAGCTCCAAAGGGCGAAAGAACTGAGGAGGAGAAGGCGAGGTTAAGGGCTTTCAGGCGACGTCGGGTTGGGTCAGGTCGGCGAGAGAGAAGGCGTGTGTAGGCAAAGGTTTCGTGTGTGTGCGAAGGGGGTGGGTTTCAGAAAACCCAGATCTGGAAAGTTTGAGGGTTTGGTACAGATGGGGCGTGTGCAGGGTTGGTGTATAAGTGAGCGACTGAGAAGGGGGTGGGTTTCAGAAAACCCAGATCTGGAAAGGAAGAAGAAGGGAGAAGAAGGGGTGGGTTCGAAGGATTGAGAAAGAGGAAAGGGAGAAGACGACAGCTGTTTCCGGTGTGGCGGAGCTTCCAATACCCTACACTAGCCTCCGCCTCATCAATCGCCCAGACTGTAGAGGTCTTCCATGCCTTGTCTTGATTCTTTGATTTCTTTTGTTTTTGATACTTCTGTAACTATGGAGGATCGAGATTGGGATTTTTTGTACAGGAATACTATTACTTTATCTTGTGCCGGTGGTGAGAGTTGATAATGGCTGAGAAAAGTAAGGCTGATCAATTGGCTTTGAGGTGTACGTCGCCCAGAATCTGCAGACGTGGGTTCGAAACCCAGATCTGCGATGAGATCACCTTCTTTTGAAACCCAGATCTGGGTTTGAAACCCAGATCTGGGGAGGAAGAAGGGAGAAGAGAGAGAGAGAGAAAGAAAGAACAAGAAGAAGAAAACAGAAAGATGATCTGAGTTTGATTTTAATTTTGCAGGAGTAGTAGTAGGTTTAGGGTTTTGAATTTGAAAAGGAAATGAAAAGAAACGAAGATAATTGAACTGTGATTTTTGGGGAACTTGATTGGAACTGGAAAAGGAGAAAACAAAATTTTCATGTGGGCCCCACCAAAAAGAGAAAGTGAGAAGATGATAATTTGACGTGTAAAAAACTGCCACAGTGTAAAAAATGTCGTTGTTGGATTTACACGTCATTAAAATTAAAAAAAAGCCGGTGATTTTGTGGCATTTTAACGAGCCACCTGGCATTTAACTGACGGAAGGACTATTTTGGTACCAAAAATGAAAGTTTAAGGATAATTTTGGTACTTTTTAAAGTTAAGGGACAATTTTGGTACCAAAGTGATAAGTTGAGGGACTAAAATGGTACTTAAACCTTAAAATTTGAAATCAAAATCACTCCCGTCTTACCACCAAATGATTAAAATTATTTATTTATTTTTTTTTATCAGCAAAATAAAACAGATTTAATTAGATAGAGTACAAGGGGTACTCCAACCCAATTACAAACAAAAACAAAATTCTAACTAAAACAAAATAATCCCAAGAAACATGTAACCCAACACAGTCCAATCACACTACTCATCATGCTTTCCGTCTTTGTGCTTATGGAACGCTCTCAGCAAGCTTCTATGCTTCCTCATGGCAACAGCACACTCTCGTGGATTAAGTTTCCAATCAACTATTGAGAAGACACTTCCAGCCACCTTAGTTTTAATCCATAAAAATGTTTTGGACTGAATCATATGGAGCAAACCATCCCTACACTCCCCTTTATTCTGAAAAACTCTAATGTTCCTCCAATACCAAATATACCAAGACCCAACAAGGAAAAGACACGCCCCTAGCTCTCTCCCTACCAGACCCCCTAACTCATACAAGAAAAGTTCCATCACCCCTCTCACTGTATTTGGCATCACAACCTGCAGACCCCACCAGGACATTACCTGAACCCAAATTAACTAGGCTTCATCACATGAACAAAATAAATGATTGCACTCCTCTTCCTCCTTTTTGCACAAACCACACCTTAGCTCTTCAACCGACAAATTAATCCCTCTTTTTCCTAAATTTCTTTTTGTTGGGAGTCTGTCCAAACATAATCTCCACCCAAAAAAACTAACTTTTGAGGGTACTAATTTACACCAAATCAACTTACAAATTTGATCAGGAAGGATGGACTCCATTGGTGACAGAAACTCATATGCCGTCTTCACCGCGTATCTCCCTTTCGCATCATGCCTCCACGTCCAGCAGTCTTCGCGACCTTCCGTGATTTGTACTCTGCTTAGCACCTCCCACAGCACCGCCTCCTCCCCCTTCTCTCGACCCAACCTCCCTCTTCTCCAGTCAACATTCCATCTCCAGAAACCCCTTTCCCACAACCCCATTTCACTAACCATACCGTCCTTATTCATAGCTAGCTCGAATAACCTCGGGCATAACTCCTTTAGAGATATATCCCCCACCCAAATCTCGCGCCAAAACCCTACTTGCCTTCCATCACCAACCATCCACCTAAACCCATTCCCTAACATGTCGTGTAATTTGATAGAGTTCCCCCCGACACTAATAACATCCCTCCAAATCCTAGACATCCTCACACTTTCCACTGCCCTGATGTCCACCTCCCTTCGACCCCCATAATATTTATCCCACACAACCCGTTTCCATAAGCTCTCACCTCCCTCACCCTCACCCAGCCTAAACCACCATTTCCCTAAAAGTGCCCAATTCCTCCTCCTCAAATCCATGACTCCTAACCCACCCTTCTCCTTACTACGACATACCATCTCCCAGCTAACCCAAGAAATCTTCCTCTTTAAGTCAGCCCCACCCCACAGAAACTCCCTTTGTATTCTAATCAACTCAGACACCACACAATTAGGTGCTAAAAATAAAGACATATAAAAAATAGGTAAGGAAGTTAGTACCGAATTAAGCAGAGTGATGCGGCCGCCAAAGGATAGCAAGGCAGATTTCCAAATGGCAAGCTTGGTTCGAAATTTATTCAGCACTGGTCCCACAACTTCTTAGTCCCAAGATTGCCACCAACTGGCATTCCCAAATACACAAAAGGCATCTCCCCTACACCGCATCTCAAAACAGATGCTGCTCCATTTAACCACCTCTGTTCCACATTAAATCCAACAATACTACTTTTACGAAAATTAATTCGCAAACCAGACATCAACTCAAACCACCTTAAAATGGTTTTCACCGTAAAAATATTCTCTCCATTTGCTTTTCCCAAAATCACCGTATCGTCTGCAAATTGGAGCAGTGAAATATTGGTTAAATACCCTTTTTGGTCCCTCTACTATAGGAAAAAGCCCTTTTTAGTCCCTGTACCAAAAAAATCCCCCTTTTGGTCCTTACTGTTCACAAATCCGGCCTCTTTTTAGTCCTTCCGTTAAATTTTAGGTGATGTGGCAAGTTAATTAACGGAAAATTTTATTTTTTTCTTTACTTAAATTACGTGTGAAATCCATGTGGCAAAACTCGATGACATGGCCAAATTTTTTATCTTTAATTACCAATTTACCCTTATTTTCTTCTCCACCCTCTCCTTC